TCTGAGAAAAGTGTCCCTCCCAGGTCCTACCCTGTCGGAGTAGATGTTGCCTGGCTATCCAGGGGCCCCAGACAGGCCTCATCCAGATGGCATGTGGGATGGGGTGGGGCAGGGGCACTGAGGCCTCTGAGCAGAGGCTGAGTGGGGAGAGTTTCAGTGAGTGGAGCTTTGGAGAATGAAATGTGGCAGGGAATATTCCATGAATTTTCAATCCAATCCACTTAATGTTCCTTGACAAGCAAGTCCAGGTAGTGATTCCTTTTCAAATTAATTTTAATGGTTGGACAAGGTACGGTTGAATGTGACACGGCAGAGACTTTAGGCTGCATGTAAAATAACATCTCTGTACAAAATTTTAAGATCAGAGTAAGGCATGTGCCTTGTAATTAGTGAAATATTTTGTAGTTTGAGTTTGTAAAGTTATATTCATGCATCACTTAAAAATAGGGAGACACGCTGAGAAATGTGTTTTTAGGTGATTCTGTCAGTATGTGAACATCACAGATGTACCTACACAAACCATGATGGCTACAACATCACTCAGTAATACAATCTTAGAGGACCACCATGGTATGTGAGGTCTACTGTGGGCCATACGTTATGTGGTGCACGACTGTATTTTATGTTAGTATTGACACACTGATGCTTCAACTTCCATGATTGAGTTGGTTAAATATACATTCTAATAATTTTCTCAAATGTAGAATTTCACCTGATGATTGACATAATATTCCCTGAGGAACTCATAAAAGCCACCATTTTCTTTCTGGGGGGTGGTGGTGGCGGACAAAAAGCTCTTCTTTTAAATGTAGGCCTCATACTTTCCTAGCTTCTGCTCTAAGTGTCATATGTTCAGAGGAAATAGAGAAGCTGGAAAATTACCTTTTTCTTTATTGGACATTATCTGTCATCCTAACACCCAACATGGCTTCCTACCACAGTGAGAGGTAAAAAGTCGTAGCAAGGATCTAAGGAACACCTGGGGATTCACTTTATATGATTCTGGAGAAGTGAGACCTTGGTCCCGTTGTCTAGCACAAGCTCCAGGAGTGACATCCCTCTGAGCTGAAGACACCCCATGCTGGCAGCTCTAGCTGTGAGATCAGCCTCACCTGAGAGTTCCAGCTTGTCCACGGGGGCATCTCCCTTTGGCAATGGGGCCGAGGCTGGTGGCATCTCCAGGTTTGGAATTGACTTCATGATGTTGGCCTGAGCTTCTTCCAGGAGCTTCTCAAACTCTTTCCCATTATAATGGTCCAGATTTTGCCTTTTCTCTTCCCATTTCCTTTCTGCTTTCTAAAGGGAAATGGCAAAAGAAGACGGTTTAAAAACCAAAGGGGAGAACTAATTTAGTCTGGAGATTTCACATTGAAGTTGGGCATGTAACTCAGTTAAAATGTCGACAAGACAATGTCCCGGTTTTCCTTGGAGGGACAACTGCACATATCAGATGAGTCCTGGCCACCCGACCTTTCTGCTGTCTGCCACATCATTTAGAACTACATGGCTTGACATTTCAGCCCAGGTGACAGTCATCCACAGAGAAGCAAGCTCAGAAACCCAAACCCATTCCTTAAATGATCACTAAGCCCTTATGACATACTTCTACCAATACAGAATAAAAAGGGACACAGATAAAGCTGTCAAAGATACGTTTTTCACTACCAAATTTTTGCTTTTTAAAGTAAGTTTTCATTGTAGAGGATATGTGCAAACAAATGAAAACCGCAACACTAACAACAAAATAATCTTGTTCTGTTCTGATTATACACTGTGTGTGTGTATTGAAATATCACATAGTATTTTGTTAATATGTACACTTTTTGTGTCAGTTTATAAAAGATAAAATTAATTTTAAAAATCCTACATCTTAGTTCCACTTCTAAGAACTAAGAACTGCTATGTGACCCTTTCTTGGTCATGTTTTTTTTTTTTNGACAGGCATGAGACCCTGGGTTCAAACCCCAGGAAAAAAAAAAAAAAAAAAAAAAAAAAAAAGAGGAGAGGAACACCCTTTCTTTTGTGTGGGTGAGCCTGATTTGTACTTAGTAGGATTTCTTGCTCTGACCTTTGTAAGATGTTGAATGTAAGTGAATTAAAAAAAAAAGATCTTTTCCTTCATTCCTTTTTTTTTTTAAAAAAACAAAACAAAACAATTTTATTGTATTATAGGAAGAAGTTCACAGGACATTTTAAACCTTAAAAGTAATTTTTACTAATCCATTCTCTGAAATAGTTAACAGGTCCTACCCTGCTTGAGGCTCATTTAAAACGAAGTGACCCTCCTCAGCACCCATACATGCATTTCCAAATGGCCAGGGAGCTGCCTGAGCCCTGGAGATCTGCCTCTGAAAATTAACCATTGCCACTCTGGGAGCCAGAGGCTGGCTCGTGTGGACACTGTCTCAGGGAGGCCAGTTCCCTGGCAAAGAAAGAAAGTAATGGCTGTTACTAGAGGGCTGAGAAGGAAGTGGACATTTCTAGAGCCTCCTGACACTTGACAATGACAGCAGGAGAGCTGAGGACTCAGGAACCCAAGTTCATGACCATCATTGGTTTTCAACCAGTTAATTTGAGGGAAAAGGACCATCACCAAGGCTTCTTCCAGAGAACAACTAAATCAAAATATCTGGGCCTTTTCCAATCCCCCAAATAATTCTAAGGTACAGTGAGGATTGAAAAATCACTAACGTAGGGCTGGGGGTGTAGTTCAGTGCTAGAGCACTTGCCTAATATGCATGAAGCCCTGGGTTTGACCCCTAGCCCTGCCAAAAACAAACAAAAACTCCAACAAATAAACTAACCAACCAACCAACCAAAAAACCTTATATAAATGCATCATCTCAAATAATTGTCTAGTATTTTCTTTATGTCAAATACAGACGTTTGGAAATAAGTTGGCAGGCAGAAAGGAGAATTGGTGTCTTCTCTATATGAACATTCCAGAACTGGTCCTAAAGTCCAAATATAGCTGATGGTGAGAGCCTCCTCTGCACTTTCTCCCATGACTCTGCTTGTCTCTCTCTTCTCGCCCCCCTGCCTTCCCTGCTACCTCACAGAAAGCCAGTCCTGGCTCACCTGGGAATCCCTGGCTTAAATGCCTGCCCATAGCCTTGCTTACTGAATCTACTCGCCATCTCTGTTGGGCTGTTAGGCCCTGGCTTTCAGAGCCTGTGTTTTCTTCTGATGCCTGGTGATGCTCTTAGAGGGGGCTGCAGAGTCTCCTCATCCTGCCCAGGATCTAAATCTAGAGGAAGAAGCAAAGAAATCAGCAAGGCCCTTGGCCACTGTCCTAGCAGGTTGGTTCTTTGTCCCAGCAGGAGAGCCAACAGGGCTTGGCTGAGTTAGGGTCACAGCACATCATTAATCACTGTTAAATGACCATCCACCATGGGGCCAGAGGCCAGATACTCCATGCAATGAAAAGTGGTCATCAAAGAGGGTATCGAAGATTAAGATTTCAGTGGAGGGAGGCATTCCCAAGTGGCAGGTTGGAAGTGACTACAATAAATGTATGACTTCTCTTAAATGGCTTAAACCTGGATTATTCACAAATCTAAAAGTTATTCACTTTACAAATCTATATGCTCCAACCATTCTAAAACCCTGTGAACAGTCTGATTTGGTGAAGGGATGTCCCAGGTCAGTCTGAGTTTTACTAAGGCTCAAAAGGGTTTACGTATATGACAGAGTAATCGAGAATCCTATTTTCCCTATAAAATCCAGCAGCTCAATTCTGGCAGTTATTACCATGGAAACTAGTAGTGAAAAAGACATGATTTGAAAGACTCCCTACTCCAAACGAAGAAGGAGAATCCATGGGCCTGCACAGCCCCACTTTGTGCAGGGAGAAAATGACATGTTTTGGAGTCCCAAGAAGTGTGACTATCTGATAGATGGAAATATCCTATAATACGCAGGAGTCCACCAAAATTCAGAGTTTAGTCTGGGAATTGTGTACGCGTTAGACAAGTTTTTAGAACACACTCTTAGGGAAGATTCTTATCTATGATTGGAATGTGAGATATCAGTTATGGGTATAGTTCCTATATCCCATCCTTAATCCTATGAGTGAAAAAGTAATAAGCATGTAAAGCTGATGAAGTATCATTTCTCAAACAGGCCAAAGCAAATGCAGAGCACATTTTTTTTTTTCAGCTCTTCAGAATATCTGATAAGATGACATTCACGTAGAACAGGAACCTGGTATGAACTACAGGTGGTCATTCATTGGCATGACTCAAAACTGGTCACTCTAAAGGTTAGAGCCAAAGAACAGGATCCACCTAAAGTGCGCTTCAATCAGTCCTTATCAAGGCAAGACAATGGCTGGTGTTTCTAATCACCATCTTAATTGCTTTTGGGATGAAGCAAAGACTATTAAGTCAGAAGGAAAAGAAAGAAAATCCTATGGCTAGAGCTAGGGAGGAGTACAAATGATTTTTCTTTTCTTTTTTTTTGGTTTGGGCAGACATTTATTTTCTAAGATCCTAAACCCAAGTAACAAAAGCAAAAATATAGAATGAGATTTCAGTAAAGAGCTTTCTCACAACAAAGGAAACAATTAATAGGGTAAGATAAAATTTTATGGGTTGGTAGAAAACATTTGCAAGTTATGTTATCAAATGTGGGGCTGATATGCAAAATATATAAGCAACTGAAATGATTTAATTATAATAAAATAAATAACCCTATTAAAATGGGAAAATTACTTGCATAGTCATTTCTCCATAGAAGATAATTACATAGCAAACAGATTCTTGACAAAGATGCTCAACATCACTGGTGAGATTCCTCACATGTCTCACAGGCACCCCAAGAGCCTGGTATGGTGCCATCTTGGAAAAGTAGAGGCCAAGGCTAGAGGACGAAGCTTATGTGTCCTAGCTCCAGGGGCCCCTCCCCAGCCTTCTCTAGCTAAACCAATCTGTGGAAAGCGGTGTCTAGAGAGTCCTGGATGAGATGGTAGAGAGTCAATGGCAGTCACCTCACTCACATACCTGGAGTTCTGCCATTATTTTGTCTCCTTCTTCTTCTTCTTCCTCCTCATCTTTCAAGGAGGATGCAGTGACTGGTGGTGGGGATGGGGCCCAGGCTGAAGCAGGCTCTTCTGCTGGACATTTTGTGGCTCTTGTCTGTGGGCTTGAACCAACATCTTCACCACTGGCCTGTGGGAAATTCAAACCACAGATAATGGCTTAACACCTCTTAGGTACCAGCTAAAAAAGTGACAGATTCACACGATCCCTCGTCATCTGATCCCTTGGCTTCCTGGATCTTCACACTTAACTGAAAGGCTAGTTTGGGTTTTCATTTTGACAAGTCATCATTTTGGTAAATAGATTGAAGAATTGTAATAAAATCAAAACTCAGCATCCAGGCCCTTTAAGAAAGGCCACCTCCCATCCTCCATTTCCTTGGAAATTGTATTTTACATTTAATGTGACAAAACTTGCCAAGTTAAGCGGGAGCTATAGCTCACTTAACATCTTTCTGTATAAACCCTCACCTGTGTCAGCTAAGCCGCTACCTTTGTAAGATACCTTTCTTTCACTTTCCCTTTTCTTCCCCTATTTTCAATCTTAAGATGACCTGTTTGGGGAGTAGCTTATGATTTATTTATTTTATTTTATTTTTTGTTTTGGTAATGAGGATTGAACCCAGGGGTGCTCAATCACTCCCAGAGCAACATCCCCAKCCCTTTCTATATTTTATTTATAGACAGGGTCTCTCTGAGGTGCTTAGGGCCTCGAGGCTGTTGAGGCTGACTTTGAACTGGCAATGTTCCTGCCTCGGCTTCCAAAGTCACTGGGATTACAGGTATGTGCCACCAGGCCTGTGATAGCTTGTAATTCACACTTAAATCAATGCAGTGAAAAGTCAAGTCAGGATAAAACCTGTGATGCGAGTCTATTCTAGTCACATCAGCTGGGTTTTCCCACCTGTGGCACTCCTTGGGCATGTAGTTTAGTTGAGGTTCTATTTCTCTTCTCCATATAACTGCTTTTATGTTTGAACCCAGAGCATCTTGTCTAAGGGTATCATCGTGCCCCAAAACCAGTTTACTAGGAATCAACCCGTCAGACCTTGGTGGTGGTGCTCTCCTTCCTGCCAGTGTAGACCACATCACCGGATCTCGTGGTAGTGAGCCCCGATCCAGGCAGGTAACTTCTCCGAGGAGGTGGGGGAGGGGGAGGGGGTGATTTTCCCCCCAGCTTGTCCAAGTCTGGTTCTGAATTTGGTGAGTCTTCTGGAAAACAATGTGCCATTGTGATTTTTTTTTCAAGATAATGTTCAAAAAGTCCAGTGTATTGCTATAAGCTTAAAGAATACTGACTTAAAAATTTTGTCTTTCCCATATAGCAACGATTAAGCATACAGATCCTGAAGATCGACTGGATTGAAATCTCAGAAAGACCCTGCACAAATGACCTAACTTCTCTGTGTCTCAGTTTTCTCATCTATTAAATGGGTATTCATTATTAAATTAATTTTTAATGACACAAAAAAGCTGATTGTCACTTGAAAAAACGAGGAACTAAAGGTAATTCCAAAATGCCTCATATGTCCTCCAACATCTTCAGTCCCTCAGTGAAAAGACAGATGTATCAAGAGGGATGTGTGTGGGGAATGTTAGAGGAGGATCTAGCTGAGGGAAGGCCAGAGAGGAGATAAGCTAAGTGAGGACAAAGGACAAAGCCAGAGAGGAAGTGAATTATTTTTTTAAAATTGGGGTCATGGTTACCTGGTTGAAAAAGATTCTTTCTGCTAAAAAATAATAAATAAAATAAAATAAAAGGAGGGAATAAGTGTAGAAATCAGAGTATTATAAATAAACATTAATTTCTGGTCACACATTTCTAGAGGCCTGCACATTAGTGGATTATTTCTGAGAAGGAATCAGAGCATTAAAAACAACAACAGTAATAAAAAAATATAACAGTAAATAATAGAACATTGTAATTAAGTAAAAATATTCTTGGGAGTTACTTGAAACATTTGTGCAGAACCCTTTTCAATCTGAAAGAATAAAGAGGGAAAATGAGGCACATTAATAAAATTGATGTTATATTTTTGTTATATAAATGCAAGAAGGAAAAATTATGAGAACTATATAAAACATCAAAGGACTGTAAGGCAAAGTGAATGATGGGGCAGAGCAGACGTCCACAAGATAGAAACGTAATGAGTGGGTCATTTTAGCTATCAGAAATTCTTCCTGGGGACTTGGAGAGACAGACCATCTTTCTGAGAAAAGTGTCCCTCCCAGGTCCTACCCTGTCGGAGTAGATGTTGCCTGGCTATCCAGGGGCCCCAGACAGGCCTCATCCAGATGGCATGTGGGATGGGGTGGGGCAGGGGCACTGAGGCCTCTGAGCAGAGGCTGAGTGGGGAGAGTTTCAGTGAGTGGAGCTTTGGAGAATGAAATGTGGCAGGGAATATTCCATGAATTTTCAATCCAATCCACTTAATGTTCCTTGACAAGCAAGTCCAGGTAGTGATTCCTTTTCAAATTAATTTTAATGGTTGGACAAGGTACGGTTGAATGTGACACGGCAGAGACTTTAGGCTGCATGTAAAATAACATCTCTGTACAAAATTTTAAGATCAGAGTAAGGCATGTGCCTTGTAATTAGTGAAATATTTTGTAGTTTGAGTTTGTAAAGTTATATTCATGCATCACTTAAAAATAGGGAGACACGCTGAGAAATGTGTTTTTAGGTGATTCTGTCAGTATGTGAACATCACAGATGTACCTACACAAACCATGATGGCTACAACATCACTCAGTAATACAATCTTAGAGGACCACCATGGTATGTGAGGTCTACTGTGGGCCATACGTTATGTGGTGCACGACTGTATTTTATGTTAGTATTGACACACTGATGCTTCAACTTCCATGATTGAGTTGGTTAAATATACATTCTAATAATTTTCTCAAATGTAGAATTTCACCTGATGATTGACATAATATTCCCTGAGGAACTCATAAAAGCCACCATTTTCTTTCTGGGGGGTGGTGGTGGCGGACAAAAAGCTCTTCTTTTAAATGTAGGCCTCATACTTTCCTAGCTTCTGCTCTAAGTGTCATATGTTCAGAGGAAATAGAGAAGCTGGAAAATTACCTTTTTCTTTATTGGACATTATCTGTCATCCTAACACCCAACATGGCTTCCTACCACAGTGAGAGGTAAAAAGTCGTAGCAAGGATCTAAGGAACACCTGGGGATTCACTTTATATGATTCTGGAGAAGTGAGACCTTGGTCCCGTTGTCTAGCACAAGCTCCAGGAGTGACATCCCTCTGAGCTGAAGACACCCCATGCTGGCAGCTCTAGCTGTGAGATCAGCCTCACCTGAGAGTTCCAGCTTGTCCACGGGGGCATCTCCCTTTGGCAATGGGGCCGAGGCTGGTGGCATCTCCAGGTTTGGAATTGACTTCATGATGTTGGCCTGAGCTTCTTCCAGGAGCTTCTCAAACTCTTTCCCATTATAATGGTCCAGATTTTGCCTTTTCTCTTCCCATTTCCTTTCTGCTTTCTAAAGGGAAATGGCAAAAGAAGACGGTTTAAAAACCAAAGGGGAGAACTAATTTAGTCTGGAGATTTCACATTGAAGTTGGGCATGTAACTCAGTTAAAATGTCGACAAGACAATGTCCCGGTTTTCCTTGGAGGGACAACTGCACATATCAGATGAGTCCTGGCCACCCGACCTTTCTGCTGTCTGCCACATCATTTAGAACTACATGGCTTGACATTTCAGCCCAGGTGACAGTCATCCACAGAGAAGCAAGCTCAGAAACCCAAACCCATTCCTTAAATGATCACTAAGCCCTTATGACATACTTCTACCAATACAGAATAAAAAGGGACACAGATAAAGCTGTCAAAGATACGTTTTTCACTACCAAATTTTTGCTTTTTAAAGTAAGTTTTCATTGTAGAGGATATGTGCAAACAAATGAAAACCGCAACACTAACAACAAAATAATCTTGTTCTGTTCTGATTATACACTGTGTGTGTGTATTGAAATATCACATAGTATTTTGTTAATATGTACACTTTTTGTGTCAGTTTATAAAAGATAAAATTAATTTTAAAAATCCTACATCTTAGTTCCACTTCTAAGAACTAAGAACTGCTATGTGACCCTTTCTTGGTCATGTTTTTTTTTTTTAATCCCTATATTTTAAAAGACATTTCTCCTGTGATTTTACAGATGTTCAATAATCATTCTAGAAAGGCAGAGTGGAAATTAGCCCCAGAACTAGTGGAACCTCAGAGTTCAAGATTTGGAAAAGATCACTGAATCAACACACTTTATGTAGGAGTTTGGGGTGCAGTAAGATGAAGAATTTGCTCAAGGTCCCCATATAATCAGTACCCTCACTCATTTTTTCTTCTTAGCATTTACTATCAGCTGGCATATACGTGTTCTCAGTTTCCCCACAAGTAGGTAAGGTTCTTGAGGACACAGACCTTATCTTTCTGTTCACTGCCTATCCCAGAGCCTAGGAGGGCTCAGCATCTCCACTGAATGAATAAGGTTCATTCCACTTGTTAGTGGCTAAACTGACAGAAAGACCCAGGTCTCCCTGTTTGTGGATCAGGGAATTTTTAGGAGATGAATTATGTCTCTTCTCAAAACAAAATATACAAATCACAATGATTATTATGCTAAGTTCTTAAACATCCATATTCTTTTAAAAAATTTTGGTGGGGGGAGGGTACAAGGGATTGAACCCAGGGGCACTTAACCACTAAGTCACATTCCCGGTCCTTTTGTTGTTGTTGTTGTTGTTTGTTTGTTTTATTTTGAGATAGGGTCTCCATAAGTTGCTTGGGGCTGAGACTGGCTTTGAATATGTGATCCTCCTGCTTTAGCCTCCTGAGCTGCTGGTATTAGAGGTGTATGCCACCCCACCTAGCAATATCCATATTCTTAATGGATATTTGTGAAATAAAAGTGTCATCAGACTGACATCCTTTAAGTATTGAGATAAGTGATGAGATGTCYTAAGAGGCAGATTATAAATTCTCAGGAGGAAAGGCATATTCCCCAGCTTCTCTATCAGGCATTAAGGACAGAATCAAAGCCCAGAAAAATCCTATGAGAAGCAATATTAATTAATTAATTTTTGCAATTCTGGGGATTGAACCTAGAGGTACTCAACTACTAAGCTACATCCTTAGGGCTTTTTACTTTTTATTTTGAGACAGGATCTCTCTAAGTTGCCAAGGCTGTSCTTGAACTTGCAATCCTCTTGCCTCAGCCTCTCAAGTACCTGAGATTTACAGGTGTGGGTCACTGCACCTGGCAATAAGCAATTTTTAAATTTTGCTGATTTGGATTAGGGGCACAGCCTCTAATTCTGGAACACAGAGAAGCTACATAGGGACATGGATAATGTGGTCAAAGGTATATTTTTCACTACCAAATTTCTGGTCATGACTGTGGCCACATTGGTTTTAAGAGGGCATCTCTAACATACCCACCCTGAGTTATTCCCTGATGACTTGCAAGAAAAGCAGGAAGGATCAGGACTGGGTTGCTGGGGACAGAGCACTGAGCTACAGGGTACAAAGAAAAGGCTTTGGGGTAAAAGGAAAAAGATCTATGGAAGCAAAATACAGGATTTAAAAAAGAATATTTAAAAACAGTGTGTTTTTCTACATGTTGGGTTTTTCTTTAATTTTTTTGAGGTGCTGTGGATGGAACCCAGGTCCTCGCATATGCTAAGCAAATGCTCAACCACTGACACACACTCCCAGCCCTCACTTGATCTTTTTTTTTTTTTTAAACTTATGTAGTTTTTAGTTGTAGATGGACACAATACCGCTATTTTATTTGTGTATTTTTATGTGAGGCTGGGGATCAAACCCAGTGTCTCACACATGCTGGGTAAGCGCTCTACCATTGAGCCACAACCCCAGCCCCCACACTTGATCATAAGACCTACCTTTCTCTTTCCATTTTGACTGCCTCTGCTTTTCATTCTTAGAGTCCTATAATTTGTCATTCTGCTTCCTTAATTCTAGACCTACTACCACAATCAATCCTCTATATTGTCTCCAGATTAATTTCTTAAAAATACTATTTAAAAAAAATCACGGGTCAGATCTGCAGTGTTATTTCTCTGACACCTTCAAAATAAACTCCACACATTTCTCAAACTGGTTTCATCTATTTACCCATCTTTATGTCTTCAGTTCCAGTTAAACAGGTTTACTATGAGCTCAGCCTCTGCTCCAGCATCCCTCCATCCCAAAATGCCACAACACCCTTCTCTGCTTATCACGAATCTTCTGTCTTTCAGGATCGTAGTAACCYTCCCCAGCCTGCCTTTAGCACAGGGGAAACTCAAGTCAGCATCTACTGGCTCAGGAAACTGATGGTTACCTCTCTCCCCAATTTCCTGCTCAGTGATGTCATACTGTAGCTTGAATTTGCCGTAGTGGGAGAATGTACACCACGGAAATTGGTAAATGCCACAAATCAGAGCTTTCTTCCAGAGAGCTGGTTGTTAAATATTTACCGGCACCCCACTGACTAAAGGTTAGGGGCCATCTTTCTCAAATCTTATGACCTTTCCTTTAACTTGGCTATGGAATCCTATTCCCAATTGAAGGAAAAAAAATCTATCTTTGGCAAAAAATATATCTTTGATCCACAAATGAATTCATATACACACTATCTCTATAATTAGACTGTAACTCATTAAGGGAAAAGACTTTGTTAACGGGATGATGAGAAATGGAAACAAGACTCTACCTCAATGGACACTGCCCTGTTCTTGGCACTCACACTGTGGATTTCCTCAATGAACAAGCTCTGCATGGTGGAACCATTCGTGGGCGTCTGAGGGGACTGTGGGGCTGGAGCTGACTGTAGTGCAGAGGTTACTTCCTGTGTAACTGCAGGAGGGTTGGCTGAGTGGGTACCAGTCCCCACAGGCAAGTTCTGGGCAGGGTTCAGCAGGGCCAGGGAGTGCTGGGAGGGCTGGATGACCACAGGGGAGCTCTGCGCGTGGTGAACGGTCATGCCAGACAAAGGCACCACTTCCGACTTCACATCGCCAGGGACTCCCGTGCCATGGAAGGGCTGGCTGGGGCCATGGGCTGCTTCCTCCTGGTTCTTCAGGACTTCGGCAGCTGTGGCCTTTTCCATAGCGACATACTGTGCGGCTTGGGCTGCATCGGTGCCCTTCAGGAGCCCATCGGTGACATGTCTAGGAGAAACCATGCACAGTAGAATTATCTGCTAAAATAGGTCATTTCCATTTTGTCACTGTGGTGTACTCAAAGGCCATGCATCCCAGAGCTGGGTGAGATCAAAACAAGAGAAACTCAAGAGTAGCTGCTGGGTGTGTGTGTGTGTGTGTGTGTGTGTGTGTGTGTGTGTGAAGGTTTCCATAGCAACTCCCTAATGCCCCTGATGGCCTCCTAGTTATGTACGAGCTGCTTCTCCAGGACTTTCCCAGGAGATGATCTCATTCCCTTTTCATCAGCACTGTTGTGCCCAGACTGATGCCAGCCTGTCATTGTTCGGATGGTGGTGACACGACATGAACAACAAGATTCTAACAACACTCTGACTCCACCACCTGATCCTGGCCTTTGCAGACCTTCAATACACCYAAGAGCTTCCTGAAGCCTCCAGCCACCCTCCAATGGCAGACACCTCAAAGGGTAACCTGCCTTCTAATTCCTTCTGTTTGCTCTGTTTGCAGATCAACCTGTTGTTCTCTGACATCCCCACCTGGACCCAACCAAATCTTTCTGCAAGGTCACAGATGACTCTATTGTAACATTGGGCTTGGTCCTCATCCTCCTCTGCTTTGGGAAGTCATTCATTGCTGTGTCTCTACCCATGCTTCAGAGGAAAAGGCAGAACCTTTGCTGACAGATGTGCCTGTGTTTGAGTGTCAGTTCTACCATGTTCTAGTTATATAACACTGGGCTCATCACCTTTTTGAGCCTCAGAAACTTTTCTGTAAAATGTAAGGATGGTGACAATGACAATGGACACAATGCTTTCCTTGGGGGTTGTTAGAACTAATGTTGTGAAGTTACGATATAAGACGAAGTCAYGCCTGTAACTTGACCCATAACTTAAGAATCCTACAATCCCTTCTTATTAAAGTACTCTCTTCTCTCTTTTCTGATTTGAAAAGAAAAAGAAAAAGACACTGTATTTCATGACTCTCCTCTGTTACTTACTTCTCTCTTTACTTTTGACTTTACCAACCCCAGGCTTTTAACTCTCCAGGGTTTTCCCAAGATTTGTTCTCTCCTACCTCTACCAATTTACTGGACTACTGCTTCCATTTTCAGTAATCATCTCCATGACTTTGATTTAAATCCTCCCTCCCTCTCTTCCTCCCTCTCCTCTGCTGTTCTCTCCTTTCTCCCTCTCTTGCTCTGAACTAGGCCACGATCCCTTCCAACTCTGTCTCTGGATCTTGCCCACTAATCTGGGTGCCTAGTAGGAATCTCTTCCAACCTCAAATTCCACTTGTGCCAAACCACCACTTGGGCATTTTCCTAAGCTCCTAAGTGTTCTCTGAACTGTGACCATTTGTCGCCCACCTCACCTTCCCTGCCATGGTGTATGGTCATCTGCATGTCCTTAGCAATGTGCTCATTCCCACTTCATCCTTCGGTCTTCCACCATGCTGAGAATCACATGTTATGCACAAACATGGTAGTACAAAATTAACCATAAATAGGCTTGTGACGGGCACCCTATTAGAAGCTAAAATTTATTTTATTTTGAGTTGTTCGACTCGTTTTATGTACCATTCTCACCACTGGGTATTTATAAGTAAAAATGTCATGTAACGTTCAAAAGCTATAATCCTATCTTCTGTCACTCTGTGCTGGCTCTCAGCACATCCTTTAACTGCTTTTCAGGGATGGAAAGGGAAGGGAAGGGAGAATGAGCAGTATTACCTGGCAGATCATGCTCTATTTTTGCTTAATAAGGTTGCTTTTTTTTYCTTTTGTGGCCTTGTGGGTGAGTTACCACATTTGGGTTAAAGCTTCATAAAGAATTAGTTTAACAGATTTTTATCCTATTGGAAGAAAAAGTTCCTTTGGAGATTTAAAATATGTGACTTTATGAAAAAATTTAACACACATGCAATTTCTTCCCGTATACAGTTGGATGTGGACTTCACAGGAGGGGGCATTTTTTATTTTAATCTGGAATTCCTTTAGCATCCTGTGCTTACACACTTGCTATAGAGGGTTATCTCAAAAGGGGCTTTTCTGAGGTTATTCATTGCTAGAAAAATTTAATCTGCTCCTTACACTTAATGATTTGCCTTAGTTAACTGTGAACTTCATATACTTTTCTTCTAAATCTGATTAAATGATTATAGTCAGTGATTAAAATCCCTACAAGAAAGATTCCTAAATATTACTTCTGTTTGGGACCTGATCTCAAATCTGGTCCAGAAGGGGAACTTTTTGATCTTATTAAAAAACCCTGAAACTTCAGGGACTGCCATTGTAGGGCTGTGGTTTATTTTTGGTTGTTGTTTAGTGTCTATTCCTCATGGGAGAGAGTGATTTTTATAAGGATAGGGTCCCACTTGTCTTGTTTATTACTGTCTCTATAACACCCAGCACCAGGGCTGGGCACAGGGAATGTTACTGAACTTTACTGCATCCCTGGCTGTGAGGTAAGAACCAAGAACTACTCTGGAGTCAAAAGATCTGTTCATAACCCAGCCCCACCTCTCACTAGCAGTGAATGTCCCCAAGCCTCAGATAAATACCTTTAAATAATGAAATAACAGTGGCTGGAGTGGATGAGGTAATACACATCAAGGATTCTGTCCTGCGTCTGATACATAGAAAGTGCTATGTCTGATACATAGAAAGCGCTGGGAGGTCCAAGTTATCCTTATTGTTAGGTTGAGAAGAGAGTAATCCAATTGTAACTCAAAGACAGAGCATACAGAATGTCATTTACCAGGGTGCTTCCGAATCCTGCATGCTTATATGTTGGCATCCCCCACCCCATGCTGGGGATTGAACCCAGGGCCTTGCACATGCTAGGCTAGTGCTCTGCTGCTCAGTTGTACCCCCAGGCCTGTAAACACTCTTTGAGTAGATTATGGAGTTCTGAATTTTTCTTTTCAATGAAAGTCATGGGTCATTCAGTGATTTTCTAATCTTTCCCTATAGTAACCCTTCCTGATGAGCAGGTTCACCCTGGGTAGGAGACTGGCTCATGCCACTTCAGGAGTCTTGGTTCTCTTTTCTAGATGGCACCAACACACTCTCATATACTCCTTCAGTAGGAAATTTAAGAGAGACTTATTTATTTCTACTCACTTTCTCCAAAGCAAAGTCTTCTATGCCTCTGAAGTGAAGGAGGCTAATAGACTACTTTGATTTAGTCCTAACTTCAAAGTTACTAACAAAACAAAATAAAACCAAGCCAAAAAACAAAACCAACTTTCAAATGTTTTTTTTTTTTTTTTAAATAAATGTTGACTGTGTCTACTCATTTTATTATTTTATTTTCTTGTGTTGCTGGGGATGGAACCCAGGACCTCATACATGCCATAAACGTGCTCTACCACTAAGCTACACCCTAAGCCCGTGTCTATTCATTTTAAGTCATAGGATGGGTCCAATGCTGCAAGTCTATACTAAAGAATTAGAACCTCGAGGTATATTGCAATGAAAGCCCTGGGGTGGAAGGAGTTGTGGTTTCCAGAAACAAAATTTGATAAGTCATGACTCTGGATGCAGGCTCTTGGATGGTGGCAGAACCTGGGTCTTCAACATGCACCCTGGTCTCCCCGGCCCACCCCCTCAGAAGGCCTTCCCAGCTTGGGGGTGTGGAGGTCCCCAGTTACCTTCGCAACATGGTCAGGATGTCTGTCATGCTGCGCACACGTTTCAGGAGACTGTCCAGCTTATGTGGCTCCTCCTTCAGAAACCGCACAGCCTCGACCTCTATGCGCAAGACGGCTCTCATCTTGTTTTGTAAGGTTGGAAATTCTCCTGTAGGCCAAACCAGCTGGTGATTAAAAGAGAATGGCAGAACCACCACCCCCATCCTGCACCCTGACACTGGATAGCACTGAGAAGTGTGGGATTCACATGTCTGTTGGAAGCGCAAAGCAGGGTTAAGAGAATAGGAAAATGTCAGTTCAAGTAACTTTGTGCAAGGTCACAGCTCCTTTAGGCCTGTTTTCTGTATATTTGGGTTAAGGCCAACTGAACCTTGGGGTTATGTTTAAAGAGTTTGGCACAGGTGTCCAGGCACACTGTACGGGCCCAGCAAATAGAAAAATTAATAGAAGTGTTATTAGCATCATTAGTCTTGAATCTTACAGAACCCACTAAAATATAAACTTCAAAAAGGTAGGATATTTGCCTGTTTTGCTCGGTGATATATTCCAAGTACCCAGGCCAGTGTCTGGCATGTAGTTATTTGATAAATAATTGCTTGTATGCTTGCATGAATGAATCCTTCACTATTTAACATATATATGTATATGTGTGTGTACACATATATATACATACATGTGTGTGTATATATATATATATATATATATATATATAAATGTGATACATATAAATTATATATTTACTTATTTTAAATGGAGTCTCATTACACTAATTAGGCTGGTCTTGAACCCCTGTGCTCCACCCATCCTCCTGCCTCAGCCTCCACAGTAGCTGGGATCACAGGTACACATCAACAAACTTGACATCTATTTGACAGATTTTTAAACATCTCAGGAAACACACTTCAGACTTCTCCCCTCTAGTGGAATGCTCACCTTTCAGGGTGGCTACTGCTTCTCCCACTTGTCTTAGGAGGAAAGCCCCATCTTCCACATCCTTGAGAGTAACCACTCGGCCAGCGGACGAAGAGTCCTTCTTCAAGTCTTCAACAAAGTCTTCCAGCTCACTGTGGAGGAAACAGACAGCAGACAGGGCTGAACAGTGGGGTCCAGAGGAAGGATGGGTACAAGGGTGGAGTGCTTGCCTGGGTCTCCCATTTCACAGTGTCGAACCCTCTTAAGCCTTTCACTTAGATGCCGAGAGCACATGASAGCAGTAGCTGGGTTTGGCTTGGAATATTCCCCGAGGTGTAAGGAAGGTCCAAGGAGGTTTTCCCAGGGCCTGTTCATGGGGAGGCCCCCACTGGCCAGAAGATCATGCCTGATGGAAGACCCATTCTTCATTCCCAGTGGGGATGATACCAGCTAAGGGAGGGATGAGTRCAGTTTGTGATGGGGTGGGGTGGGGTGGTGTGTGCACAAAGAAGCACTTAGTGGAATGAGATGAGAAATATGGACTGGTTTACATCAGGTTTCTCAACTTCATTGTTTGACATCTTGGGCCAAATAATTCCTTTTTTTTTTTTTTTTGGTCAGGGACTAACCTGTGCATACTATGATGTTTAGTAGCACCCAACCTTCACTTTTGAAATGCAAGTAGTACCCCGGCACCTTTCCCCTTTAACTTGTGATAAATAAGAATGTCCAGACATTGTCAAATGTCCCTAGGGGAGGAGGAACAAAACTGTCCCTGACTGAGGATTGACTCTTTCCTATCCAAGCTACAAACAGAAAATATGTTTACCAATCTGGTTTCTGGTGTGTGTGTGTGTGTGTGTGTGTGTGTGTGTGTGTGTGTATTTGGGTGTAGAGATGTCAGCTCCAATAGAGCTAAGTTAAGCTTTTCTACTTGAAACAACAAGAAAACAACAGTCTGCTTCCGGGCACATTACCAGCGCTACCCTAAACACCTGTTGGTATCATTTCAGTTTGCCTGGGAATGCAACCAGAGAAAATTTTGTCATGAATGTACAAGGAAACCTACTAGTGCAGAGAAAAAGGATTGGGAGGAGGGAAGGGAGGGTAAGGAGAAGTAATAGGAGATGTATTTGACCAAACCATATAAGCAAATATGAATATGCATATATGAATATGCATATATATTAAGCATATATGAATATGCCACAGTGAAACCACAGTGAAACCCACCAGTGTGTATAATAAATACGCGCGCGCACATGTGTGCGTGCGTGYGTGTGTGTGYGTGYGTGTGTGTGTGTGTGTGTGTGTGTGTTTGGGCAAGGAACATTGGGAAATGCAGAACCACTAGGTGGCAGTAAGTGAACAGTGATTCTGTTTCCTGGAACTGAGTGTGGAACAGGGAGCTGCCAGAGATAAAAGAAGGCAGAGTTATCAGAGAAAAGATGGATCACAAAGCCCCCTTCCATCAGGTGGGCCAGTGGATGGCGCCATGGCAGCTGTAGAAGAAATTCAGGCAGGGATATGTTGTAAATTCAACAGGACCATAAGGCAAATGACAAATTCATCCACTTCTGACCAGTGGATGGAGAATGTAGTGATATCATTCATTCTGTTATAGAAATTGGTTGTGAATATTTCTGATGAAACAATGTCCTTCAGGACCCAAAGGGAAAGACTTGCCTGCTCACTGTCCACACTTGTGAATGATATAAAGGTGCTTATTGTTAGGGGAACATACCCAAAGGATGCTTCCTACATCTACTGTATCCCTGAGGAGGAGAGACTGTGTGGCGTCCCTCATGAGAGCTCTACATATGGTATATCTGGAAAGGTTATTTTCTACCACATGACCCACAGTCACTCTGCCTGAATTCCATTTTGATGTTTTCTACACAATGTGACTCTTGGATTTTCTAACCCTCATAACTCATAGATTTTCTTTGTTGTGCAAACTGATACCATGGTATACAAGTGTCCCTTCTATTCTAATGTTCATGATACCTATTTAGACAAAGCATTAAATATTACATTTGTGAATTGAAAAATTGTAAAAGAGACACCAGAGCTAAAAATGAATGTGGAACATCTTTTAACCTAACAATCAATGTGACTTTTGAAATACTAAGTTGCTTTTCATGCTACTTTTGTGAAAAAGCATAGAGTTTGTTAAAATAGATTTCATCTGTTATTATAAGCCCAACTATTATTTCCAGGTAGAAAACCATGAAAGAGAAATGATCATGACCCAATATCTATCTATCTATCCTTTTAGACTCAAATTTCACCTCTCTGTCATCTGACTGGCCTGCTAGTACCTGGGCTTCACATGCTCTCCAAGGGAACTTGTTTTCCAGTGCTTGGAAGGAAAAGGAGGAACAAGAGGAGGAGAAAGAGAGAGGTCTCTATTCCCTCATGACCCAGAGTTGGGAGTTTCTGACTATCTTTTATAACCTGTGCTCTCACTATGCACACACATCCAGTTAACCCACTTTATACATTATAAGAGGTAAAGTTACAAAAATATTACAATGGTATATATATATTTTAAAGACATCTTTGAGATGAATCCAGATCTAGTTTTTTTAAAATATATTTTTAGTTGTTGATAGACCTTTATTTTATTTACTTATATGAGGTGCTGAGACTTGAACCCAGTTCCTCATACATGCCAGGCAAGTGTACTACTGCTGAGCCTTAGTCCCAGCCCCAGACCTAGTTTTAGGCAATTGTACTTTAGTGTACTTTGTCTTTGATTTCTTTTCCTATTTCTTTTTCTGTTGTTTGGTTCAGGCTTCATTACCTCTTTGCCTAGATTGTTACACTTGCTTCTAGTGTGGTCAATTACTAATCTTGTGCAATCAGTCTGGCACAGGACCACCAGAGGGAATTTTTCAGAATACAGGTCGAGTTTTGCTATTTCCTTGATCAAAAATCCTTCCTCATCATGTGCAGGTGCTTTGGAATCATCTATGTAGCTTAAGTTTCATTGAGAAAAATTCTCAGGTGGGGTTGGACCTGGGAACTTGTATAAAAACCAGAAATTTAGCCTGGTGCAGTGGTGCATACTTGTGGCTCAGGAGGCTGAGGCAGGAGGATTGCAAGTTCAAAGCCAGCCTCAGCAACTTAGCGAGATCCTAAGCAGCTTAATGAGCCCCTGTCTCTAAATAAAAAAATATAAAAGGGGCCGGTGATGTGGTTCAGTGGTTAAGTGCTCCTGGGTTCAATCCCTGATACCAAACCAAACCAAACCAAGTCAAATCAAAACAAAACAAAACCAACAATAAAAACAAAATCCAGAAATTCAGATTTCTGTCAACATGATCTTCCAATTTTGGTAAGCACAGCCCAGACAGGCATCAGGCGGATATCCAAGTGGAGTGTAGTATAAGATCTAGAAATGAATGGCACAACCTAAACAGGAGACTTTAGTAGTATCTTGCATTCAATTCTCCTGCCAAACTGGACTACCCCCAATTCTCTAAGGATATCCTGTACTTTCCTGGTCCAGAGGCTCTGTGGTCCATAGGGTTCCTCTGCCAAAAAGATCTCTAGCCTCTGCTGATGAAATTCACCTGCCTTTAAGCCCAACTCAGTTCAGTTTAACAAACCACTTTTGACATTACCATGTGTATAGGGCTATGAGGGCTATGCTTGGCCTGTGGGGCATATAAAGAATAACTACTTCAGGTTAAGTCTCCCCAGTCCCTGGGCTCACAAGCAGTAGGTTCACCCACAACCTGCACATCAACAGTTCTGCACTAAACTCCTATTTATACATTCTGCTTTGCTACACTGAAGATCCCCAAGGGCCCTGTGCATTCTTGATTCATTTATGGCCATCCCATAACACCAACCAGAAAAAAATCCTCTCATGTATTTCATGGCATAATTGTTGCAACTGTCTTAACATATATTCACGAGTATTCTGTGCATATGAATCTTGCACCAAAGACAGTTTAGTAATAAATGATTTTTGAATAATATTGACACAATTTTTAAAAAGCCTCTCATAAAGGTTGCATCTCAGTTTTATGCAAAAAAAATTTTGGTATCATATATGTGACAATTACGCAGTAAAATATGGTACAATATATTTGTTCCATTATCAGCTATGCTATTGGTCTTAGGATATTATTGAGATAAAGATGCTTGTTAAAGGCCAGAAACAAGAGTTAGTTAACCATTAAAAATTTAAGGAAATTTTCTTTTTAAATCTTGAGACCTAGTATTAAATAATCTGGCTGTCACAAAATCATTTCAGACAAATAATAGCCTTATTACCTCATGGTGGATGATCAACTCTGTCCACAAATGTATGAACTACGTAAAATTTTAGAAGTTTTTTTTGAGATGTCAATGAAGAGTGGCCTACTTTTATTTGGAAAATAATAACTCATATTGATTTTTTTTCTCTCTAGACTGTTGAGAGGGACATTCTCATTTTAATCAAACACATGGGGTTGGTATTGTGATAATATAAGCTACAGCTCAAATATGAAAAAGGTGATAGAATATAACACTTTCCATCATAGAGAATTCTGGTCAGGTTGGTCATAGGAAGAATCTGCAAATTCCCCTTTTAGATTTAATATTTCTAAGCAAAAGAAAACTACCAACACTAGAGGAACCTAGAAAAATTACTATTCATGACACTAAAAGGTGAAATAATTCTATAACAAATCTTTGTTGCGTAACAAAATAAACATTAACTTAAAAGACGGGCCTGCCTCCTGATGGGGAGTAATAGAACTTTGCTCATTTCAATGGTGGGATTTGATAGATGCTTTCAATAAGGACCTTATATAGGATTGGTAACAAGCATCTTTCATTCTGGATCAGACACACTTTACATTGAAATTCTTCTTCAGCAATTTTAACTATGGTTGAATAATAGGAGGATAATTTTAGTGCTGTGTTATTTTGCTTATTAGTTTTAATTTATTGAGATTAAATACAGACTTCCCATTTATCATTGGGTTTTGACATTTGCTGCTTTTAATTTTATGTGTTGCTGAACCCTAGAGAAAAAAAATGTAATTCTCCAACTTGTAAAACTGCTAGCTCACTCATCTGGGGGTTGCTGAATTTCCCAGACTTCCATGATGGGGTACCTGTGTTCACAGATACCAGGACCAATGGAACACTGACTTGTACACAGTAGGGGCTTAATAAAGACACAGAGAGAAAAACACCAATTAAGAAAATCCTCCTTTTGAGTAAAGACACTTTTCCTTTTCAGGTTCAACAGCTAGACTTGGGACCAGTGACTTCTGGACAACTCACCATAACTTCTTGACAATCCTCTCCTCTTCGTGGAGGTATTTTTGTCTCTCTTGCTCCACTAGGGTGCGCTGTCGCTGCACGGGATCCTCCAGCCTCTTCAYAGTTTCCACAACTTTGCTACTGATTTCCAGCTCAGCCTTCTTCATCATGGCCCTCAGCAGCTCCTGGTTCTGCAGCTGTGGAACAAAAGAAATCAGCCTCAATTGGCTGTGCCTGCCTGCCATCGTGGCAGCTGAATGCCTTGCAGACTTCAGAAGTGGATTCGGATAAACAGAATCTTTGCAACTGCATCGTTATTTCTTTATTTTAGCAGGAAAAGGAAGGGCTCAAAGACTGTATATCCTATTTGCTTCTTCAACCAACATCTGAATTTTAGCAACYGACTGACAACCAGACTTTCAAGTCTGTAGCAACAAAAGGAAAAAAAAATAGGGATCATTTCTATCCTATGGCCATGCATCATGGGTACAAGATACAAACTCTATGGACAGATTTTTATAGAAAGCAGCAAAGAACCTAGCTTGGGAGCCAAGCAGACTTTGTATAAACTCAAAACCTTCTTCCAACCCCACTTTGAGACTTTGGGCAAGTTACTTAGACCTTCTTGGTCTTCATTTCCCTATCTGTAATGTTGAGGGACCTACTTTCCTTGGCAGGGCTATTCTGAGGTTATATGAAATACTGCTTGGATTGGGATAAGTACTCCATAAATGTGAACTTGGATATAGCATATTCCAGAGTATCAGTTGAAAGTGAACATGTGCCTCTCTGGCTGGTGCCTTTCATATGAATACCCATGAATCACAGACCCTAAAACAGTACTCACTGTTAATGGTAGCAATGACAATGATTCTAGATGAGCCCAAGGCTCTTGGCAATTTATGAATATCCCTGGATTTGAAGAAGGCTGCATGTGTACATAAGCCTACAGTTTCCATAGCTTCCAGAACTCTCTGGTGTGTCATCCCAGAGCATATAGGATGTGCAAGTTTGCATCTAGGCTTTACAAGAATCTAGACCAACAACATGAGTCCCTGGGGTAGGACAATTTTATGACAGCACATCCATCAAGCAAATTTCCTTGATCAACCTCAACAGCGGTGCTTCTATTATGCCTATTATATCATCCCTAAAATTTCCCTGAAATATCAGGTAGCAAATTTCAATTGTTTCCTYGTTTCATGGACTCTTCTCTAACTACTATGTATCTACTCGTGGGAGTTGGAGGTGTCTTTGCCAATTGCTCCCGATCTGTACATGTTGAGCAGGAGTATAATCTGACCGTGGGACCACTTGCTTGAGACCTCATCGAAGTTTCTATTTTCTCTGAGTAAAGACAACATATTTTAACTCGGGCTACAAGCAAAACCACTTTGGTTTCCAACATCAGCACTGCATGATGATTAACTGGCTTCCAGAAAAAGAATGCCTGGGCCTAAGTTCTAGTTTTACCACCGAGTAGTGGTGTGTCTGTGGCCAAGTCATTAATCTCTGTGTCCACCCATAAGAAGGTGTAGTAATAGTTCATAGCTCTTGGCTGGTCATGGAGACTGAGTAAGACAATTGAGTACTTACAATAGTCTCTGGCATGAATCCAGCTCTGAGTCTGTACAACCTACTGTTATCAGGGAGCGAAAACTTAGGGTAGGGCGTGTGGTTTTGTTTGGGAGGGAACCAAATAAAAATGTGCCACTCTTGGTGACCTTCTGTATATGACTCACAATCATGCTCTCACACTGCTTTTGCTAATGTTTTTTTTATTGTTTTGCTAAAGTCTTTTTACTGTGGACTTACAAACAGTCAAAGTATTTCTGAAAGGCACCAGTTTTGGAAGCAACTTCCTGCCATGCTCCCTGTAGCCAACCTGTCCACAAGGTGCTAGGCAGCCTGGCCCCTTCCCACATGGCCAGTCTCCCCTCTCTCCATGCACCCAGCACTCTGTGCTCCAGACACACCAGTATACTTTCAATTTCTCTGGCTGGCCAAGCTCTTTATACCACAGGTATTTTGCACCTTTTGACTTCTCGAATGCTTCTACCTCCACCTGGTTAATTTCTGCTCTCCAAAGATTCCAGGACACTGTGCCAAGCACAGAGCAGAAACCCGGACTGAAAGAACAGCATGAAGCAGCAATGTTGAGGATAACAAAATGATGGAGAGTCCATAATTGTTTCCTAAATGATTAAAATATGGAGAGGCTCACAGAACCTGGGCTTTGTTTACATCTATGCCCTGGGCTCAGCTTGAATGTTCTACCTTGCTCCAATCACAGTAGCTGTGGCAGGGTCAACACTGCACAGGTCAACTAAATACCCACAACAATACTACCTGCTATCAAAATGGTATGCCCCAAATTCACTGCCATGGATCCAATTTCACAGAGCCATTGCCTTTGAAAGGGAGGTAGGGGGGATGAAGAGTGATGGGTATGAAAGGGGCAAATAAACAGGTAATTAAACAAGTCTAAAAGTTATGGAAGCRTGAGTCCCTTTCCCGAGAGATTCTGATTTAATTGGTCTGAGGTACAGCCTGAGCCTTGAGAATTTTTAAACTTCTCAGATGATTTGATTTGCCACCAAGAATAGCATCAGAGGCTAAGAAAAGGGCTCTCCAATGTACAGATGATGTCACTGTGCTCTGATCTGCGGGGCACAGCCCTCTGCAACAACCCTCCTGCCCCAATCCCCCAAACAGTGCCACGGTCTCATTAGCAGTGAGCATTAACAATGGCCATCAAGCTAGAAATTACTGCTGGAATATTTCAGATTCTCAAAATTGAAATTTGAAAGCTAGGAAAAGTAAAGCCCTGAAAGTTCAAGGGATTTCTTCCTGCTTCCCTGGCAGTCACTGTCAGGATTAGAACCAGGAAAAATTTGAATTCAAACTATTTTYCCACTGCCCCAAGTTGTTCTTCTATCAAGATAAGGGAACACGTCTGCTTTGTTCCCAGCTATAAGCACAGTTTTTGGCCCATGGTATGTAGCCAACACATATTTGTTGTATGAGTGTTAATGTTAATATTTCTGAGCAGACTACGGGTGCCCTGGGAGAATACAACTGCACATCATATTTAAGTGCTAGAAGAGCAGAGAGGCATTCTCCTTGAATTCTAGGCTTTATTATCCTCATTCCCAGAAAGAGAGGCTTTAGGGGATCCAGTTGAGAGGACCAAAGAGGGAACACTTCCCAGCAGTCCAGCTGACACATGGGCAGTGATGCGTGACCTCTGGAGGAATAAACATTTGCCTAGTTTCTCTGTCTCCTTTTCTCTATCCCCCCCCCCCCCCCCGCTTCATGTCCGTTGATGCTGTCTCCAGGCCACAGGAATGTTCCCATTTCATCTCAGCACAGTGCAAACAGTGCTTACAGAAAATGCTTTCAGTCAGTAAGTAAGTTATTGGCAGCTCAAATCGTTGGTTTATTTTTGCTTACGAGGTGATACTTAYATTTCAATTTTTTTTTGAAGATCAACTCCATGGAGTATGGTTTACAACCAATAAAATATGTCCATCTTAAGTCAGAGTTCTGTGAGTTTGGACAAATATATATGCCAGTATAATCCTCACCCCAAGGCCAGAAGACATTTTTTTTAATCACTCTAAAACTTTCCTTCCTTATCCTTTGCAATTAATCCCCAATCCTCAGTCCAGGGAAGCCACAGTCTGCTTTCTGTCATTAAAGATGAATTCCCCCTGTCCTAGAGCGTCATATAAGTGGAATTATACAGTCAGTATGTACTCTTTGGTGTCTGGCTTCTTTCATTCAGTACATTGTGGTTGGTTGTTTGTTTTGCAGTGTGGGGGATGGAACCCAGGGCCTGATGCACGCTAGGCAAGAACTCTACCTCTGAGCTCCATCCCTAGCACAGTACACTTGTTTTTTGCGATCCTGGCCATGCTGTTGAGTGTTTCAACGATTCATTCTTTTTATTTCGGAGTGGTATTTCATTGTACGGGTACACTAACATTTTTGTATTTTTACATATTACCCTGATTCTGTTGATCTTGTTGATTTCACTTATTTATAGTAGCTCACTCTATTTCTTAGCATGTCTTACAGATTCCTTTTGATTTCATATGCTCACAATCACGTCCTCTGCCAGTAAAACCGATGACACTGTTTACCTTCCCACCTGGACACCTCTATTTCTTTCTGTTGGTTTTGTTTTGTTTTGAGAGAGGTTCTCACTATGTTGCCAGGCTGGTCTTGAACTCATAGGCTCCAGGGATCGTCCCACTACCCTTCCCTGGCTGGATGCCGCTTTTCTTTTCCTAGCCTTTTGCACTTGCTAGGGTCTTCAGGATAGTGTGAAATAGAAGTGAGAGTAGATTCCCTTGGCCTTGTCGCTGATGTGATGGGATGCGTTTAGCATTTCACTATGACTAAAATGCCTTCTGTAGTGTAAGGACATTTACTTCTCCTCCTAGATCCCTATATGTTTTCGTTATCCGTTGTGAATTCTGTCACATGCTTTCTCAATTTTTCTTGAAATGATATGATTTTCTCCTTTGGACTGTTAGTATGGTCAAATATATTGATTAGTTTCTTCATATTAGAACAATCTGGTATTACCAGGAACATTTATATCCTTTTTTACCTAAAAAAAGGTTGAATTTCACTGCTATTATTCTGTTAAGGATTTGCTGAATCTATTTTCATAAGGAATATTGGTCTGTGCTTTTCCTATAATATTTCTACCTGGTTTTGCCTTAGGGTAATACTGGCTTCATGATACGAGTTGGGAAGGGTCTCTATTTTCTGAGATTTTTCCTTTGAATACTTTAAAGAGGCCACTCCATTGTCTTGTGGCTTATATTTTGATGAGAAGCTGGGATTCACTCTTATTTATGTTTCTTTGTATGATTTCATTTCTCTTTTTCCCCTTCTGGCTGTTTTTAAATTTTCCTAGTTATTCCTTGATTTTTTAAAAAAATATTTATTTTTCAATTGTAGTTGGACACAATACCTTTATTTTATTTATTTATTTTTATGTGGTGCTGAGGATCAAACCTAGGGCCTCGCACGTGCTAGATGAGCGCTCTACAGCTGAGCCACAACCCCTATCCTTTGATTTTTAGCATCTGATTACACCCTGCTTTGGTGTGGTTTCTTTTGTTCTAACTGGTAAAGGTGTTTATTGAGCTCTCTTGGTCTTGGATTTACAACTTTCATCAAA